CATCCCACTAACAATGGTCAATGAACAGTTCCCCCTCGTCCCCGGCCACGAAACCGTCGGTGTCGTCGCCGCCGTCGGCCCCAAAGTCAAGGGCTTCGAGATTGGTGACCGCGTCGTCGCCGACAACTCCGAGCTCTGCGGCGAGTGCTTCTACTGCCGTCGCGGCGATGAGCTGTTCTGCGAACACTTCGAGGCCCACGGTGTCACAATGAACGGTGGCTTTGCTGAATACTGCGCGTACCCTGCTGGCAGGGTATTCAAGATCAAGAACCTCTCGGATGTGGATGCCACGTTGTTGGAGCCGGCCAGCTGTGCCGCGCATGGTTTGGATAAGATTGCGCCCAAGATGGGGTCGTCGGTGTTGTTGTTTGGAGCTGGGCCGACTGGTTTGGTATGTTCCTCTCCCTCTTTGGTTTGGTGGGAAGGTATGAAGTGGCGCTAACGATGAATGTGTAGATCCTGGCTCAGTTGCTCCGCCAATGCGGTGGCTGCCGCGTGGTTGTTGTCGCTCCTGAAGGATTGAAGATGGATCTGGCCAAGTCGCTGGAGGCAGGTGACGAGTATGTTGCGCTGTCGCGACAGGATCCTAGCGCGCAGTTCCAGAAGCTGAAGGAGGAGAACCCCTATGGGTTTGACATTGTTGTTGAGGCCACGGGTAGTGTTAAGATCCTGGAAGACTCGATCAACTATGTCCGCAGAGGTGGTAAGTTGGTCGTGTATGGTGTTTATTCCAACAAGGACCGTGTGTCTTGGCCTCCTAGCAAGATCTGTGAGTATCCCTGAATTCCTCTAAGTCGTGAGGTGGACGTGTACTGATGATGGTGATAGTCGGTGATGAGATTACCATCCTGGGCAGCTTCTCTGAAGTGTACAAGTTCCCTGCGGCGATTGACTACCTCGACTCGGGCAAGGTCAAGGTCAAGGGCATTGTCAACAAGACGTTCAAGATCGATCAGTGGGAGGAGTGTCTGGCGGCGATGAAGAACAAGACGGCCATTAAGGCGGCGATTACTTTTGATTGAGTTAGTGCTGGTCACTAGGTGTATATAGTAATGAGTTATGTTTGATATGAAACTATATTTATCGCAAATGATCATATTAGTAGTGATAAGTTTTAATTGACATTCCAGTTGGTATTAATGTGGGTTCACCAGGCATATATATGGGGTGAGTACCCGGGGAGTCAGACTGACGTAGATCTCCACCAGGACTCTATTTAGACCAAACCAGGATAACGAGGACCTTGAGGTCAGTACAAAAGTAAAATCGAATAAAATAAACTACGTGCCCTAGCTAGCTAGCACAGTAGCTATAGCTATAGCTAGGTTCAACTCCCGGTTGAACCGCCAGCCGATAAAACTAGTAGTGCAACTTATCGATAAGAAAGATTCTCCACACCAAGCTCTCCTCCCATCCATCCATCACCTCACAACCTACTACCTCAAACACCACATCTTCACTCTCTACACCACCTCCTCAACCCACCCCCAAATCTCAATCTACAACCCATTGAAAATGGTAAAACCCCTAACTTTCAAAGGCGACAAGCCCAAGAAACGCAAACACACCTCTACCTCCACCGACGGCTCCCACCCAACCAAAAAACAATCCACATCCACCAGCCTCACAACCCAACAAGAAGACCCCTCCCCCACTGAACACCACGACGAAAACACCCTCTCAGACCAATCCTGGGTATCCGCCGATACGAGCAGCGACATCTCTGGCCCTATCCTCCTCATACTGCGCACCACACCACCAACCTGCCTCGCGACCGACGCGCACGGCACCGTCTTCGCCTCTCCACTCGAGAACATGATCGAGGGGGACCCGCGGACCGCGGAACCGCATGATGTTCGACAGGTTTGGATCGCGAGTAAGATTGCGGGCATTGAGGGGTGGAGTTTGAAGGGGTCGAATGGGCGGTATGCATATCCTTCCCCCCCCCCCCCGCCGCCTCCATTGTGTATTATTATTTTTTGTGAATGATGATGATCATGAGATCAGCTAATGATATATCTCTGGGAATAGGTACCTTACCAGCGACAAACACGGCATCATGTCCGCCAATGCATCTGCCATCTCGCAGCACGAGATCTATACGATTAATGAGAGTGGGGTTGGGGGTGGAGGGTTCTTTGTTTTTGGGACGGGGACGGGGGCTTCCTCGTCTTCTGCTGCGCAGGGGGGTGATGGTGTGGATGATAAGGAGAAGAAAGAGAAGAAGAAGCAGACGTATATTGTTGCGCGGACTGTTACGTCGAAGACGACTGCTTCTGGGACGAAGGTGGAGGTTCGTGGGGATGAGACTAACCTCGATGATGGGGAAGAGGGTGACGGGGGGACGAATATTCGGGTGCGCATGCAGGCGCGCTTCAAGCCGCGCATTCAAGCGAGTAAGGAGATCAAGGCGCGGGAGAAGATCGGGAGGAAGGAGTTGGAGGGTATTGTGGGGAGACGGTTGGATGATGATGAAGTTAAGAGGTTGAGGAAGGCGAGGAAGGAGGGTGATTTCCATGAGGTCGTGTTGGATGTTAGAGTCCGGGGGAAACATGATAAGTTTGCTTGATGTTTTTCTTTCTCTATAGATGGTTGGTTGGATTTTGTCATGTACAGTCTATTCTATCACGAGTGTTATGTAAATCTAGGGTTGTGGAATGTCTATCTATTGGGGTTGTAGCCATGGGTCTTCCGGTGGGAATCTGAACCAGCTGCTTGGGAGCACGCTTTTCTTGCACAGTGGACAGAGACTGCTGCTCTGCGTTAGGGATGTGTCGATGCATGGTGGGTGGTAGATATGTCCGCACGGCAGCTCGCGCACTGCTGATAAATCCCGCTCAAAATCATCCAGGCAGATCGCGCACGTCGTCTGCTGTCGGCTGAGTCGGTTCTTGTATTGCGCATAGGCATCTGGCTGACCTGCTATTGTCGCCTGAGAGGGTCGTCTGATGAACTCGCTGTCTATTGCTTTTTCCGTCCCATCGTCCGCCTCACGGATTGCGACGGTGGGGGTCTTGGGGTCCTTGTCTTCAGCAGCATGTTCAGTGATTCGTGGTAGATGCCCCGGCGTAGAGTTCTCATTGATCGATTCGTCGTCGTCACCCCCGCCCTCGTAGATGTAAATGGGCATTGTTTCCAGAAATTCTGGTGGTACCTTGAAATGAAGTTGAGCTAGCTGCTCCAGGTCTGCTTCTCCGGCTTCCAGGCGGCGCTGGAGCTCCCGCTGGTGCCGCCTGTGCACCAGTTGATAAAACAAAAGAAGGATAATAGTAAGAACGAGAACTGTCCCGAGAATGGCGAGAATGAACCCCCATATACTGGGCATCTTCTTGCTGCCACTATCTGCGGAGCATGTCAGTTTCTTACTTCAACGGCATGACAACCAAGCCTACCTATATCTATGACCGTAAATAGTCTCGAAGTCCCTGACGATGATAATGGAGTTAGATTGTCTGGGTCATCGGGATTTGGCACACTCCCGTCGCGTGACAGCTGTTCCATCAAGGTAGCACCCGCCGCGCCGGGGATTCCGTACACTGGGAAGTTGCTCTGCGATTGCCAATTAGTGCTGCCTCCCAGCTGCCAGGCCGGGTCATTTGCCGATGGCGGTTTTGTGTCATCGTTGGACGGCAGAAAAAAGAGCAGCGCGTCCGGCACGGTGCCCTGCGAGACATCTAGAAACGCCTGCGAACATTCGTCGCTTATCCAAGGTGCCAGCCCGATCACACGGCCGTCAAATGGTGTGACGCCTTGTAGGCGGGTGACATTGGCCGAGATATACGGTTCAGTGGCATTGTTGCACGGATCTTGTGTTCCGAGGCTGGGAACAAAGAGAAGTCCCTGAATTGAGCCTTTGTCCGGGGCTTTCTGTTTCGACAGGGTCTGAACGGTACCGTCAAGCTTGAGAGAATAGATCGCACTCTCCTAAGGGGCACAGTCAGCTTCTCGTACACGAGTTTCACGGTGTCTGACGCACGTTCAGAGCGATGGTAGTGTTGGACGGATCAGCAAAGAGCGTCGCAACCGTGGTGAGCGATTTGGCAGCTAGATAAGAGGCATATCAGCGATCGCTCAGGTAAAGGACAGTGAGACATCCACGGAAGGATGAACAGGCAGCACGATCGAAGGAATGTGCAGCATTCTCTGAAGCAAGGGGAGCATACTCATGGTGTGACACGGTCGTGCGACCAGCACGAGACCCGTGGACAAGAGGAATTCAGCAGTTTAAAATCCAAGTCCAGGGAGCATCGTCATCCGCATTCCGATCCGATTAAAGTGAGAGTCGACGTCAGACGCACGATGTCTACTGCAATGGGAGAGTGTGCGAACAGAGGCAATCTACTATCTCGTCTATGGGACTTGTGAAAAGAATGCTGACAGGTCAGGTCCATTCGACTGCCCGTCGCGGATAATTGCGGCGGCCACCTGTACCAAGGCCACGACTATGCTGAAAAATCTGCAGTTTGCTGTGGTACTGCTTCTGTGCTGGCTCTTCGCAGATCAAATTTGCTTGTCCTGGCCATCCTGGGTCGTCTGTATGCCGTTTGCAGTGAATGCGACGTTTGCGGCATGAACCAAGCAGGGTTACTCTTGAGGGTCTAAAAATAGCCAAAATGAAGATAGATGGTGATGCTTAGATGCAAGCATCCTACCCAAAGCAGCCATGGCATTAGGATTGGTTCTGCCAATGGTGAAAAGTCAAGGAAGGGCCCAGCTGTAGTCTGTACTACCTCGCTGTGTCAAGAGTAGAGGCGATCACTGCAGTGCGATGGAGTAAACTACGGTTAGCATGTATGCCTTGTAGATCCTCCACTTCTCCATGTCGGTAGTGCCGAGTTGGGATTAGCGTCTCAGCTCTAGATAGTTTGTTTACTATGCATTGTTTGTATCTTTTGTATCTAAATCATGTGATATGGACTACACGTGAGATCACATGTCCTCTCACGTGGAGACGGGCATCTCGAGATCAGCATCTCCAATATCATCATCAACAACAACAATCAGACTACTACCTCAATTGAAACGGTGCTGAGCTTGTCTGCAAAGGCAGGAACGATAGCTCTGAATCTGCGTGCTTGAGTGAGCGCGTTGACCGCAAGCCCCCGATCCGAGCATGAACACTATGAGCTATTAGTCCACGCGATTCCAGACCACATCAGACTGCCAACCCTCCGCGCATCGCATATCGTCCAACAGCTTCCTACCAAACTTACACCTCAAATATGCCCTCCGCAAACAAAGGCAAAGGCAAAGGCCGCGAGGCTCGTCCCTCCCGAAGTCGCAACACTACCCCGAACTCCAGCTTCAGCGCCGGCCCGACCGCCTCCGCCCCGCTCCACAGCTACCTCGACAACGATGTCTCCAAGCTGATGATGACTGGCTCGACCATCCAGTATGGAGAATTGCTCGAGCGCATGGGTGGAGTTGGCCCGATCCCTGATTCCAAGTCTCTCGAGTTATTGATGGAGCACCTCAAGACCTTGAGCCAGCTAGCCGAAACACGAGGTGACGCATGCAATGCCGGCATCAGAGAGCTATCACAGAAGCGCAAGGAGGTCGTTGAAGAGCAAGAGTCAGCCGAGCGAGAAGGGACCGATCGAGTGAAGATGAAGCGAGAAGCCGATGACGAGGAGGAAGAGAAGGTACTAAAGGGAGGCAAGCTAAAGAGGCGCAAGGAACGCGGAAGCAGTTCCAAGGAGGAACGTCCGCTGACTCACGGTGCCCATGATGTTGCGCGTCAAGACGGTGCTGAGACGAAGGTGGAAGGAGGTGAGTCTATCCTTCACTCCGTATTTGCGATGAAGTGTAGCGTCTCAAGTCTACTCATCATGCGCCTCGATCCTATGCTAACTCATGCAGCCGCATCCCCAGCTTCCAAAAAGTCCAAGAATGCTGCTTCCGAAGAGGCCTCGTCTCTATCCCCCACATCGCGAAAATCTCCCCAACCAGTTGCCGATGAAGCGGCCGAGGATGCAGGGTCGCCCGGATCGGACGATAGCTCCGAGTCACACCAACCTGAGCCCGCGCCGGCCGTGCCACAGGTGCAAGTGTTCGGTCCCAACCCGCTCAAATTCGATGACCCCACCATATATCACATCCGGGAGGTTACTCCAGACATGACCGATGAGGAGAAAAAGGCCATCTACAGCGTCGCCCGCTTCCCCTGGAGTGATTTGAGCCATCTGATGGCAGGTTCCCCTCCGGATCGCGATTTCAGTAGCTCCAAGCCCGCGAGTCAAGTCAACGCCAACACATTCCTAGCCTATATCGATCCATACGTCCGACCATTGACAGAAGAAGACATAGCGTTCCTGAAAGAGAAGGTGAGCTCTCCAATCGACCTCGCCAAGGCCCATCGCTCACCCACCCAGGGCGATCGCACGACCCCCTTCATCATGCCTCGACGCGGAAAGAAACACTACACCGAAGTATGGGCCGAGGACGACGGGCTCATGAACGTCGACCAACCCAACGGCGACAAAGAGCGGCTACCGCTCAACCAAGGCCGAGGAAACATCGACCAAGTGACCGACGAGACCGTCGAAACCGACAAAGTCTCCGTCGGCCCTCTCGTCAGCCGACTCTACTCACTCCTCCGCTACGAGCATCGAGCCCTCCCCGATGAATCCGCTCCCAACGCCAACGGCTCCGTCAACGGTGACATGGCGAACGGCCCCATGAACCCCGACTCCATGGACATCGACCACCCAACCGGCGAGACCTCCAACGAAACCAAACCCCTCCCCTCCGCAACCGCCTTCCCCGATTCCTCCCCCAACAACTTCAAAGTCCCCGCCGCCAAGCTCGACCACGCGCAGCTAGACGAGCGCCTGAAAGCCGAACTCCGCCACGTCGGCTTCCTCGGCCCAGACGACAACCCCGACTACGACGCCCACTACGACGACGACATCGCCCAACGCCTCCGCCTCCTCCAAAGCGAGCTCAAAAAACAAATGATCATCAACAGCGCCCGCAAGACCCGTCTCCTCGACATCGCCCGCGAACGCATGGCCTACCAGGAGTACATGACCATCCACGACGACCTGGACTCCCAGGTCCAACAGGCCTACCTGAAACGCACCCGCACCCTCGGAAAAAGCAAAAAGGGCTCTCAGGCCAAACACCGTCCCGGTGGCGCCGGAGGCGGCAGCCATGTCGTCAGTGCTGCAGGCGTTGGCCGCCCCGCGATTGGTGATGTTGCCCGCACGCTTATGGATCGACGTAAGCGGTGGCGCGATTGCATCGGTCTGGTCTTCAAGGATAGTAAGACTAGTGTGCCTGGGAAGAATGAGTCGGTCTTTGAGCCGTCGTTGATGGCGGAGGTTGAGAAGGCCGAGGTGGAGGGCTGGGATGAGGAACAGGAATGATTGATCGATGCATCCATTCCTTGCTTGCTTGCTTGTTCTTCCTGCCCGCTTATTCCGGTTTTCGCTTCGATGTACATATTGCGTTTGTTTTGTTTGATTCCTTCTTTGGCTGATATCTTAGCGATGATTGGATAGGGGATTTAACTTTTGGTTTAGCTTTGGGTTTGGCGTTGGGGACGGATGAATGCATGGATGGATCGATGGATGGATATGATTGAGATGTTTTACTCGTGAGGTAACATATACTCAGTGTGTTAGCTGGGAAGATACTTGGCTCTCTGTATATAGGTTAGGTAACGAGGATTAATACCAACTCTACTTACTTCAATACTGTAATTATCCTATGTAACTTAGGAATTATTACTGATATAGGTGTATTTAATGTAAATTGGTAAGTAATGATTTAGCAAATCGGGTATCAACATAAACAAAGTAGGCTAAGAAAGGAGTAGAGGTAGTAATCATCGATGCAATATGAGCACCTCCCCCGGGAACCTCTTCAACCGCGCCGTCAACTCCCTCTCGCTGATCTCCAACTCTGTACAAATCTGATCGAAACAATGCATCCCATCGAGATACTTCGACAGCGTCTTATCATCAATATCATCTTCCTCTTCCTCCCCTTCGAGAGTCACGATCGTGGCCGGCCGACTCCCACTGTAAACCGAGGTTGAGTGATGGCTCGGCCCACCATCGTGCTGTGCAATCGGAGCTGGATCGTCTCCCGCACTAGTGGCGTAAGGACTGTTCGTGCCTGTGCCGGGCCCCCGCGACGATGGACCGCTGGGTGGATGTAATGAGGGCGAGCTGTGGTGATGATAGTGAGAGGATTTCAAGGGTGGTGCTGGGTTTCCTGTTGCTATGGCGTATTTGTGTACACGGTAGATAAAGCCCTTGATGACGCCGAAAGTGATGAAGCGGCGGATGTCGATGTGGGCGAGTTGTCGACTGTGTTGGAGGTACCATTGTTTGACACTTTGGCCTTGCTTGAGACTGGCGTAGAGTTCAACGAGGCCTACGCCGTCGACGAGTTGGGGCTCGGCGGGATGTGTGTCTGTGGTAGTGGCGGTGTCGTCGTCGGTGGCTGTTCCTGGAGCCGGCGACGCGGTTCTGCTGCTGCTGGCTTGGATGGTGCCGGCGCTAGGACTTGGGCTAGGGGTTCGACTAGGGCTGCGGCTGGAGATTGTGATCTCGCTGGCGCTACTGGCTGTGAGAGGTTGACCGACTGGGGGCCAGACGGTGTCGGGATCGTAATGCGGGGGATACCCCGGGGTCAGGGCGGCTGAGGCAGCGGTGATTGGAGAGGCAAAGACTGTGTTGACGTAACGGGCGCATTCCTGCTGCATTTCTTCGTCCGTGGCAATTGTGGAGCTGAATTGGGCGGTTGGGGCATAGATGGCCGAGAAAGAGAAAATGTCAAGGAGGAACAAGCAGCCGTAGTAGAGCAGGTGACGAATGGCGCGGCAGGTTAGGGAGAAGTCTGTATCGGCAAGAATGGAAATAATCCGAACGCTATTGACGCCATTGATGTGGGGGACGATCTGGAGGGGAAGTTCAGCTGGCTGCGATGCAGCGAGAGGCGCAGGTATGAACGTACTCGTTGCATGGTCAGATCCCAGTTCTCATCCATGAAAGTCTGGTAGCGGACCGTGAACAGCGGCACATGCCATGCCTTGACAGGCGGCGGGGCGGGATAGATGGGGAAGAGCTTGATGTTAAGGGTGTTCAGCTCGTCTGGGATGTCCCGGGTTAGCAGCTGGGATTTGGGCAGACGCGCAGTGGACTGATAGGGTAGGCGTTACCGATTGGAATCATGCACTCGCAGTAATTGTTCAGATCCTCCATCAGCGTCTCACACAGGCTGTATACCTTTCCCTCACCGGATTTGGAATGATCTCGCGATAGGAAGCCATTCTGCTCCTCCAATCCATGCATCAGATCGGCCAGCTTCTGCACAACACTCTTGTAGGTGCTAAAATCCTCATCCTCCGACAGCACCACGCAGAAATTGAAGATGAACTCATTCCGGTCGTATCGCAGGGACTTCATGCAGATCGGATAGCCCAGGATGCGGTAGCCATTGGTGCAGACCTGGATCAGGTTCCCACACAGCTCTTGCCGGGGAATGACGAAGAAGGAGATGTCGGAGAAAGTGAGGAAGAGAGGCTGCGAGGGGGCAGTTGCGGAGGGGACAATCGCGCCATCGGGGACTTGATGGACGACCTTGGGCCCTGTAGCAGTCAGCAAATGACATTGCATAACCCCTTTGATGAGATTGGGGCTGCTTACCTTCCTGCATGTCGAATTTGCTGTAGAAGATGGCTTTGATCATGGTGGGATGGGAGACATCGAGAAGGAAGGGGAGGGGGGAAAGACCGACAAGTTCGCGGGGAGCTGCGGGGAGCTTCCAGCCCAACGCGGAGTTTCCAGCAAATAAGCATCCATCCGCCGACCGCTAACTGCTTTATCTCCCCCTCACTCTCTAGGATTTTCACAATGCGCTCAGATCATACCATATGGTTGTATATATTAAGTTTCTATTGTGTGTTACCGCGTTCTTCTAATCTGCAATTTATTCGACTTTAAAGAAAAGACGATCAACGAAGGCGCATCTATGTGCAAATAGTGCCGCATGTGGCTCAAAGGGGGTATTACAACTGTAGAAAGTGAAAAAGGAGGACGTGCAGAGTCACGGGAAATCTATACGGTCGAAAGAGAAATCGGAGATGTGGGAAGCAGAGCAATGAGCAATATCGCCAAGGAAGATATCCACCGAGGATGCGCCGCAAATGCATGAATCAGAGTAGCCGGACCCATTTCGCTAAATGTTGAACCTGGCAAGGAAAAGGAAACCGCAGTCGACTGCCGTTCTATCGGGCTGTCCGTGACGACGAATGAGCATAACGCTGGATACCCCGGCTCGACAACATGGACGGGGTGGGGAGAACGAATGGCTCTGAAAGTGAGGCAGATGATCGACCGCCGACCCTTCCGACAGGCGGCATTGGAGGAGACGTATCGTATAGGTAACCCAGTGGCTGACCCATCCGGATCGCACTGAGCACGTCGGTGTAGCTCCCTCGCTCCCCGGCTTCCTTCAGCCACTGCTCCCAATCCTCGTCCAGTGACACGTCTGCCCCCTGCTCGCGGGCTGCGGTCGCCGCTATGAGGCGATGGTTCAGCTCGACTCCGCAGCTTTCCATTTCGTCATCGCTTGAATCTTCCTCCTCTTTCTCTTCCACAATGCAATCGATCCCCCGGTCATCGATCAAGCTGCTGGTAGAGCGCACGGTCTCAAATGTCACCACCGGGTATTCCGGTTCTGGCAAGAATTCATCCTCCTCCTCCTCCGTCTCATCCTCGTAATGGACCTCGATCGATGGGAGGGGAGAAGGAGAAGCGGGTCGAATATTGTCTGCCGTAGTATCGCGGACTTTGACTCCCTCTTCCTTCTCGTAACGCTCGCGAGCCGATTTGGTGCCCTCCCAGCGGCAGAGGGAAGAGATCTCAGTCTCCGTAAGACCAAGCTCGTCAAATGCCCGGAACAGTCTTCGGTGCCATGGAAAACGACCGAGCCTCATGCGGTGTGGACCATAGGAATAGTCAAGTCCCGGATACTGAGCCTCGGGGCAGTCAAGCGATCCATAGAATGTGGATGTTTCGACTCGAACTTCGGGGACCAGGTTGCGGGTAATATGTGCTGAGAATGTAGCCGGATCACTCGCGCGCGGGCGCGGAAATAATGTGCTGTGCACTATTTGGGCCAGTGAAGGCTTATGCATGGTGATGGTGATGGCGGTGTTGACAGTAAGAGTTGGAGACGGGGAGCGTTGATAAGGGACGGAGGTATGTAGTAGTATACCAAGGAGAAGTATAGAATAAACTCGGAAAGAAAGGGATGTTGATTAAAGGATGGGGGTGAAACTTGGAATGTGGAAAGGAGGGGAAGGGAATAAGTGAAGGCTAGTAACAATAAAATAAATGAGAGTTTGGTCGTTCAATAGCGGAAAGGCAAGGAATGAATCGAGGGCAGGAGATGCAAAAAAGGGACTGTGAATGCAAATAGATCTGGTTCCGGACGGGGGGCCGTTGGGGATCGTCGGGCAATAGTGGAAAACGGGGACGGGCTAGAAAAGGAGATATGCCGCGATGCAGTCGTCAGATCTCGCCACGGTTTCAGCCACGGCCCGCATTCAAATATTAATTAGTGAAACGGTCGTTAAGGCGGGTAGTTATAATTGCTTAAGGGGAAGGCCGACGCAGAAAAGGCATGCCTCCACCAGATCAACACATGGAAACTCGGTCCACACGTGGGTTCAAATTGGAGATGAAGATGAGGGTGGGTATGGGACGCTGATGACGATGACCCCCAGACTCTATTTATTCCTCCTTCTGGGTTCGACTTTGGGATCGTTGGGCTCTTGGTGAGAGGTGTTGTAACACGCCAAATGTCTTAACTTCAGGTACCGTTAGGACCCAAAGCCTAATCCGTCAGTTCTTGTCACTCAGAGGACCTAGTAAGAATGGCCCATGGTGATGACGATGATGATGATGATGATCGCTGTCGTCCGTAGGGCTGTTCCCGATCCAGGGAAAAGCAGGGAAAAGAAAGCGTTAGTGATGATTTCCAGAAAAGAAAATCAAGCCCGGGTTGGGAAAAGCGAAGGATGGAGGAGATCATGTTTATATATCAGGCCAGGAGTCTTTTGGTGCCAGTCGGGTGACACACACTGGGACAGACCGGACCACGCATGCAAATGACCAGCGCATAGGGGACGAACTGCGTGGAGTCGTGAGTTAGCCAACCTAAATCCGTGACAACAGGAGAGATCCATCGAAGGACGAGTTGTCCGCCTCTCCCAATAAAGTCGAGCCATGAATGGCACCGAAACCTGTGCTGGCGAGCGGGTCTTGACGCCCACTCGCCTCACAATCATTGCCTGCAAGGCCACTTGGTCGCGGGCAGGGCTTTCTCTGCCCGTTGGCTTTCACGCCGGGGCCATGTAGGTACTTGCCCTGGAGAGCCCCGGATTATACCATGATAGGATCAGGACAATTTTTCTCACTCGTGGGATGGAAGGCCTAGACAAGGGGGTGAGCAGCTGCCTGTTGATCCATCAGTAACGGCCCGCGGATGGGCTGGTCAGTGAGTTTCTTGGTGTGCAGAGAGATAGTAGGAAATCCTCTTGTCTGGCTGCTTAAGACTAGGGTCCGGGCAAGTGGCGGTAAGATTCAGTAGCAGTAGTACTTAGTAGATCGGGCAGGCACAGCAACCTCATCACCGTCATCCAATGGTGCCAATGAGAAAACAAAT